GTTTCTTATGTTTTGATTAAAGTGGAGTGAGCTTTCAACTACCTCACTTCCCCTAAGTACGCATTATCTCCCAGGCAACAGTTACCACCTTGCTCCCCCTAGTGGAATTGAGAGTCTGGGTCGAAGTTTGAGAGTAAAGTTACCGCTCCTACGCACGTGTTTGATTTACTGCCTTTGCTTTGGAAATCGGGCATTTTCCTGGTTTGTGTTCAGAGTGAAAATAAAAATAAAAGATATTGCATCGGAAGGGCTGAAAAGGGAAGTGGGTAGAAAGAGTGGCCTTCTGTGGGTAAGGTTTCACTTTGCAGAGTCAGCTGCAGAGCTCACAGCGGACCCAACCTGGCTCCTCCTGCTGTGCACCTGTCTCTACCCAAGGCCACTTCCTAGGAGACTCAGGATGGCGGGAGGGACAGGGCCAGGCCCACCCGAGTAACACCCACGGAGCCGTGGTGCTGGCCCAGGAGGTACCCTTGTGCCTTCTCCACTCCCTCAGGAGCCTGTGCGCCTCGCAGCGCCTGGCAGCCATCGCTGTTCACAGCTGCTGCGCGTGCAAGAAACCCCGAAGAACTGCCACGAAAGGGCTGCTTCCTCTCTTCAGTCTCCTTTCCCTGCCAAGGTTGTTTCTCCCAATTTTGACCCTTGTGATTTTGTGTTTCCCGAACTTTGTTCTTTGTTACGCGGAAAGCGCTCCTGCATCGCACATGCGCGTGCTGGAGCGAGAGGTATTGGAGAGGAACAGTACAACCCCATCTGGGAGGGCGCATCCAGGAACCCGGTGGACGTCCAGAGGCACAGGAGGACAAACCTTGCTTTTTCCTGTGCACTTCGTGTTTAGCCTGTAAATTAGGCACAATAAGAGATCAGCAACAGCTAATGAGAAAGTAAAATAATTATAATATACTGTGCAGATGCCCAGCACTGCCAGCCTCGCGTGTGGAGCGTTATCAAGCGAGGGTCCCTTGAACACAGCACAGTGACGCTAGGACCGTCTATCTGCTGGCCGAGATGGCCACTGTGTGACTGATGGGCAGGCAGTGTAGGCACTGGGCACACTGGCAAAAGGATCATTCACATCCCTGGTGAGGTGGGGCGGGTGGAGCAGGGCTCCCTGGCGCTGTGCAGAGTGGCGTGCAGCTTACAGCTTCTGGAGGCTGGTTGGCGGCATTTCCCATTCCGTGTTTTGGGCTGAAGTTGCCTGACACTTACCGATACCCATGGAAAGCGAGGCCCTGTCAGCGGAGGGCAGAACCTGGGCACCCCAAGGCAGAAGACTCTCAGGTGAGGCTTTGCTTCCACGACTCATCCACATCCAGGCAAGAGCCACCAGTGGTTGCCAAATTCATGGGTCCGTGCTACTCATGAATATGACTGTTGTAACTGGAATATTCTGCCTTTCTTAAGATCATGTCATGGAGACACCATTGGGATACACCCTTTCCCAGATATTTATTTTCAGGTTAAGTGCTTACCTGGGAAAAATAAAACAGCAGGATCAGATTAAAATCCCAATGACAGAGAAATGCCAAAGTGCTCTATGGGCATGTTTATTTGGGAATGTAGAGAAAAATAAAAAAGAAACACCCATAATGTTTTGTCTTTTTTTTGGTACTGGGGATCAAACTCGGGTCCTTGCGCTTGCGCAGCAGGCACTGAGCTAAATCCCCAGCCTGACACCCATAATGTTTTTTTAAAAAAGCCACCTGCTCAAAAATCACAGTAATGTAGTTCAAGAATTACACCCAGGCAGCACGAAGTTCATCCAAGCGCTTGTCTGTGAGATTCGTGTGGAGCAGTGCTGGGGCTTGCAGTGCAGAGGTTGGTGCAGAGCTGTGGTCCGTGGGACTCAGCCCTGCCCTGTGCACCCACCCTTGCCCCAGCGTGGTCCACAGCCCAGGTGGGCACCTGAGTGCATGTGTGCGGCCCAAGAGTGGCAGCTGTGCAGCAGCTCAGGTTCCCACCCCGGGGTGCTGGGAACTCTGTCCCTGGCCCACCAGGGCCTGGGTGTCCAGAGCACCCCCTCCGTGTTCTCCCTGCCCGGGAGGGCTGGGCCCCGCTCTGTGCAGTTGGCGCCCTCCTGGGAGTGGGGACCTGGTGGCCGGCAGGGCGGCATCGGGCCCTGTGATGGCTGTCTCCGTGGCATCACCTGCTCAGCCGCCCACTGAACGCTACACCCTGCCCGATGCATCTGGCGACTCTAGTGTGGGCCAACCGTTGCTAGGTTAGTTGTTGCTTTTCTCTTCAAGTTCAGAGTCAAGAGTGCTCACATGAGTGTTCGCTAGGAGCACTTGGGAGAGAATTGGGGGAGAAACAGGACCCCGAGGTCAGCAAGAACTCGGAAGCATCTGCTCATCTTTTTTTTCTTTTCAATTTTTGTTTTTGTTAGCGTGTGTTTGTAGCACATAATGATCACATTCCTCGTGTGGAGCCGAACCGTGTACAGAACACTGCTTAATCCTTTTTACGTCGCCTTCCTCCATCTCCTGGCCCCTCTCTTTTGTGAAAGATCTATGTCCTTATTTCCTATCATGTATATTTTATTTTGCTCTTTATACTTTGAGTTTCTCATATAAGAGAATGCAATATTTAATGTGAATGTAATACGCTATGTAATAGTGAAGCTTGAATGTCTAATTTATTTCATATAACATTATGGTCTCAAGGTGTATCCATTTCCCTCCAAATGACTCAAGTTTATCCTTCTTTAATAGCGGAGTAGTGCTCCACGGAGAGTAAATACCCAGCTTTCTGTATCCAGTCATCTGTGATGGACATAGAGGATGCTTCCGAGAGTTAGCTGTTCTGAGTTGTGCTGCTGTGCACATGGGCGTGCATGGGTCACTGTGACGGGATGTCTTTAGCTCACTGGGAAAGATACCCAGAAGGGGGTGGCTGGATTGAGTGGAACCTCTCATTGTAGTGTTGTTTGGGCCCCTCACACTGATTCCCGCAGTGGTTGTGCTGGTTCCACCCCCGAAGGGTCAGGCGTTGCTCGTCTCTGAGCAGAGAGCCAGCTACAGCTTGGCCGGCCAAAACCTCATGTTCATTCCAGGACCTCTTTCTGGCTTTGTTGCTGGCAGTTGGAGAAACTGTCCCTGTACCTGGCGAGTGGTAGGAGGGGGAGCATTTTGGGAACAAAGAAGAGAGATCCATCTCTCCATTGGCCGGGAACTTTCCTGAAGGGAAAGCCACAGACAAATTCCCAGAGCATGGAAATAGACACCTGCAGTTTGATGTGCTTTGTGCAGCATTTTTGCCAGGATTCTTACAGCATCAGAGTGGCCCCCACGCTGGCAATGAAGACCTTCGGAGGAGAGAGGCAGTGGAGGGCAGAGGAGAGACAAGATGCTTTCTGGGGACAAGGACTCGGGCTCCTGAGGAGACAGCACAGGGACAGGTCTCAGGATGGTGCTGACCCCCACCCGGGCCGGTGCTTGCTCCAGCTGCTCAGAAGCAGGAAGTGACCCGGTGAAGACCCAGTCTTGGCCCTGGGCATCCCTGAGGACTCCAGGACGAGATGAACTCGGGAAATGGCCAGATTTGCCTACTAGGCTAACATGCTTCCAGAAGCTGGCAGTGCATGTGTGTGTATGTAAGCATGTGTGTAACTGCCAGGGACCTTGAAGTTTAGGGAAGAAATGCTCACATATTCCATATCGAGTGCTGAACATTTTTTGATGTAAATATCCATGGACTGTGTGCGCTGTATGGTTACAGAAGGTTTTCCCGTGTGTTCTCTCACTCGATCCTAAGAACAGCCCCGTTAGGGTGCTCACCGCCAGATTACACACCGGAAATGGGCTCAGTGCTGCAGGACCCTTTGTGAAGTGGGGCGAGCCCAGCACCAGCCCCTGCGCTTCTTCCGCCTCTGCTCCATGGTTGTCACCGGGTTGACATCAGCTCCTTCCTGCACATTCACACCCTGGGGCCCTACCTTCCCGGTCTGCAAGCCACAGCCATCTCGGCCCCTTCCTCGGTGCTTTCCCAGACGAGTCTCCTCCCGCCTACCTCCTGGCCCAGCCAGCCGGTTCCCCAGAGGTGTCTCCTTTCCTCTTGCTGCTCTTCCTACCGTATGCAGGGGTCTTCTTTAATGGAGTGGGTGCAGCAGGGGCTCAGTAACAGCCCCTTCTTGTCCTCCAACCCACACCCTCCCATTTACTAGAAGCCAGCAGTGGATGTAATCATGTTTGGTGCACGCCCATAATCCCAGCTACTTGAGAAGCTGCGGCTGGAGGATCACAGATTCGAGGCCAGCCTGGGCAACTTAGCAAGATCCCGTCTCAAAATAAACTTTTAAAAAAGGACCCAAACTGTAGATTAGTGGTGGAGCACTTGCTTATCAAGGGTGAGGTTCTGGATTCAAGCTCCAGGACTGGGGGGAAAAGGAAGTTTAGGAATCGTGGGGACTCAGTCTGCTTGGCAAAGGTGACCAAAGACCAGAGCCTGGTGGTGTAAACAGCAGACCTTTATTTCGCACGGTTCTGGGGCTGGAAATGCGAGATGCAGGACCATCGGGCCACTCTCTGCGTGCCTCTCCCCAGCACCACAGCTGCCTCCTCACCATGTCCACACAGCAGTGCCTCTGGGCCCAACCTTAGAGCTTCTCGGGCCACGGGTCCCCCTGGTTTAGGGCCACATCTGCTGTCTCCTTGAAGGGCTGTTTCCGAATAGGGACACATTGCCTTTCAGCTTAGCGTATTGATTCGGGGGCCTGAGTCAGTCTGGGGTGGGCTGGATGCACAGAGCACGTCTGGTTGTGTCAGGGACGGAGCTGGAGGGCTGTCAAGGGCCGCTGGAGCTGTGATGGTTTTCCTGTGGCACTCACAGCTGTTCCCAGCCCAGGCTCCAGGGGCTCTCACCGCATGCTCTGCTTATTTCTTTAAGTGCATCCTCCCGGGTTGCCCGTGTGGGTTCCTCTGTTGGCCCGAGTCCTTGTCGTCTGTGTCTGAATGCAGCCACACGTGTCATCACCTTGCTAAGTGTCCCCTCCTCTGTGTTCGCAGCCCCCACTGGTCCAGGCGATCTTCAGCGGCGACCCTGAGGAGATCCGGGTGCTTATCCACAAAACGGAGGACGTGAACGCGCTGGTAAGGGAGGCGTGGCTGGTGCCGGAGGGCGCTGCGCCGGGACCAAGCTCTGTCCCCCTTCGCTGTCCCCGGCCCCTCTAGTAAATACTGAAAACAATGGACACTTCTTGGAATATTGTTTCTGAGTCCATGCCATAAAGTGTGTAGGGCAGTTGGAAGGGAAATCACTGTACTGAAATACGGTTACCAAAATAATAACCGTCACATCGTGATGAAATGATACACAGAGTTCTTTATCGGTATCTTTGAGTAAGATGCAGCAGAAGGTCTGATGATGGCCGCAATGTGAAAAGAGTGACCGCAGAATTCACATTTTAGGCTGTCTGCCACACTCCGGTGGGACCCTGGTGTGCTTGTGGTTTCTCCCAGGTGACAGCGGCCCCGTGACTGCAGGTGCGACTGTGGCTTGCTGTGGACACTCGTGACTGAGGAGGATGCTAGGCTCCCAAGGGAAGCCATGGGCCCGAGGGGTGGAGCTGCTCTTTTCTGAGGGGAGGAACCCACCTGCAGCCAGGTGTGGCGTCTAGGCTCTGTCACCTGGCTTCTGGTTGTGTGGGCTGCAGCTGGGATGATTTTTATTTTTTAAATGGTTAAAAAAGAAAAAAAAATGAGAGAAGAACACTGTGTCGTGACACAGGAAAATAATAAGCAATCCAAATGTCAGTGTCTGTAAATACAGCCCTGTAAGGGAGGTAGAGAGGGGCCAGCCTTCCAGCACGCTAGTGCAGCACACTGCTCTCATGCAGTGCAGCTGGATTGTGGAGCACTCAGGTCCCTGGGAGAGAAGTTCTGCGTCGGGTGTGTAGGAGCTCAGCAGAGACCTCAGGGTGTCACACACCTTTGCCACGAGTGGAGCTGGGATGTCGTGTGTGGATGGGGTCCCCATGGCTGGCCCGGTGCTCTGCCCAGGACGCAGGTCCCTGGCGAAGCCTTCCTTCCTGGGCTGCAGGGCAGGTGGCATGGCTTCCTGGTGAGGCATTTGGTGGCTTCTCCAGGTTGGCACTGACAACAGCAGGACAATGTTTTGTGCCCTTTGTGGGAGGGACGCTCAGCTCGGAACAGGAGGCTGGGGGGCGCCAGGGGGGCGCATCCATGCCTGTGGGGCGGTGCCCTGATCTTTGAGGACAGGCTGCCTGGTGCCTGCTGTCCATGCCTCTGGCATCTCGGGGGATGGTAGGGGTCGCCCACAGTGTCCAGGCCCAAGGTCACTTCCTTCCCAATGACTGTGAGCAAACAGGGCAGCATCCGTAACACACCAGAAGGGACTGTGCTGGCCTTGGAACACACTTTGTGTTCTCTCGGGCAAGCGACAAACAGTGTGGCCAGTAGGGGTGAAGGGAGCTGAGTTCCGAGGGTGACCAGCTGTCCCGCTCAGTTAGACGGCAGCTGCTGAGCCGCGCAGGCCCCAGGTATCTGGTGGACAACAGTGATGAAGCCCAGTTCATGGGGAGCAGATGGAGGCGGGTCCTGTCCTGCACAGGGTCCCAGGTGACAGGGGGTGCTTCTGAGACCACCACAGGGGCTGCCCACCGGGCTGCCAGCCAGTGGGGAGCCGGGGGAAGGTGTAGACGGGACTTCCGGTCAGCGTGGATGGCACCACTCCACCCGAGCTCTGGAGGTCAAGGAGGCTACAAGGCAGGAGAGCCTGGCAGGAGCCGCCTGTCACTCGCTCATTTTGTTCCTCCTCTGTTTCCCTCTCATTGCCCCATTTAGTCACTTAATGAGTATAGGGCTTTGTGATTTTGGTGCTTGGATTGAACCTGGCCCCTGTGCCTGCTGAGTGTACGCTCTACCCTGGAGCTGAGACACCAGCTTAACTGAGTTTCTCTACCCAGGTCTGGCTTTTCACCTTTCTTCCTTTTCTCCCACCTCTGTGGTTTTTGACGGGCCCATGCTCCTTGGTGGAGATGGCTCTGAGGAGCCAGTCCTGACGTGGAAAGCCGTCTCTTCAGCCGGGCCTCTCCATGTTTCCAACGCGATCTCTCACTAGCAGTGCTCATGGACTCTGTGCTTCTCTGTGCTCAGAGACCCATCTCTGGCTCTTGATTCTTCATGGGCGGCTTTCCACTCGCCCTAGAGTTGTCACGCATGTTACGACTGAGCAGTCACCTGCTTGGTGCCAGGGTCGTGGTCTGCCTGTTCTTGTCTCCAGAGTGAGGGACTCAGCCCACTTTATGCTGAGCTGACCTGTGGTGGTCCGGGTTTCACCTCTCTCTCCAGGAGGAGTCTCGGACGGGCGGTGTCGGGGGCCTTCTCTGTAAGTGTGAAGTCTGCAGGGACCAGGAGGAGCTCTGAGTCCTGCTGGGGTGCCAGGGCCTGGAAATGGGGGTGACCGGATGTTGCTGAGAGCTAGAAAGACTTCAGAGGCCTCCATCTAACCAAGCACAGGGGGCTCAAGGTGGCACCAGAGCTCAGAATAGCACCTGAATGTGAAATGTGAAAGCTTCCGGAAGCAGATTCCGAACAGCAAACACTGAGCTCAGGAAAGACGCTTGGGGACCGTGTTACGACACAGTCTGCTGCACCACTCACGACAGGGCAGGCACAGGTCAGCGCCTGTCCACAGGATCGTGGGTGGAACACAGGAGGGGAGTATGCCCTTGGGGTGGGGGTCAGTTGCGGGAACTGGAAAGGACAGGCGAAGTGTCCCAAGTAGGTCAAGCCAGCACTGTGAGCTCACCTGCAGCCAGGCTTGTCTTCATGTCGTGAGGCATGAGCTAGAGAGTAGGAGCTCAGGCTGAAGATAGCAACAGTGGGCAGCAGCGCGTCAGAGGGTCGATGGCTGTGGGTGGTGAGCTCCCCAAAGCAGCTTGAGTGGAAGCTCCGAAGGTGGTGAACAGGGACATAGGGAGCCCTGCTCTGCGCCCTGTGCCGTGGCCAACATCGTTAATTCATGGTGTCTCCCACTCCCACCCTGTGAGTCTAGAGATGAACATTCCTTCCCAGGGCAACACAGTGGACTGGCAGTGGCCTGTAACCTCGAGCCCCTCCTGTGCCTGGACCAGGTGCTGCTCAGTGTCTCTTGCAGCTGTGACAGAGGGCAATTCAGGACTTGTGAGTCCCACATGATAGCAGACCCCTGGTGTTTATTTCTTTCTAAAAAGCATCACTGGCAGAAACACACACATGCACACACGCTCATTATTATATATTGACAGTGATTCCACAAAAAAAAATAAGCTAAACAATGATTCTGCAGTTTCATCTAATAAGCATTTTATTGTCTCAATAGTTTCAAAAACTTTTTTTACAGTTGAGTTGTCCCCAAGTTGCCGATTTGAACCCATCTACTTATACAACAAGATAATTTTGCCAAGCAGTTAGTGTTTATGACTTTCCTGATAGGATTTGGCCAGCATATGGGCCTTTTGTTTGCCCTCTGCAGTTCCAAGACAGGAGGGGAGATCTGTGAATGTAATGGGATAAATCTTGAGTGAAAGCTAAGTACTGTCAGGGAAGAACTTACAGTCAACAAAGGGGAGAAAACCATTGACTCTGCAGGAATTAATTGGCCCAAGAGCCAAGTGAGAAAAAGAAACTGACATTATAGGAGGAAGGGGACTTTCTAAAGAAAAGAGAGAAATTTAAGAGCAGTAAGCTTGTAGTGTGTGTGTGTGTGGGGGGGAACTGTTGAGGTATTTCTTTCAAAAACAGCATCCATTATAAAAATCCACCCACGAGGGCTCCGTGTGGCTGTACTCAAAGAACCTGGAGTGATCGATTTACCGTTACCTCTAAATCCTCCTGAGTCTGCCCCGTCGGATCCCGGATCCTGGATCCTCTCCAGCATGGGAAACACCGTGTGGCAGAGGCTCCTATTGTCTTTTTCTTTTTGATAAAGAACCTGACACAGGATGAAGACCGCAGTGTGTCAGCTTGGCATCCTCTCGGGGAGACTGGGCGCTCAAGCCGGGTACGGTCGCGGTCCTGCGAATGGAAGCGTCTGTCGCTTGTGTGTGCAGTCACCGCTCTGCCAGGCCCAGGCTGGAGGGCAGGGGCGCTGTGGCCCAGACCTTTTAGTTTTTAAAAGCAAATACAGGAAATCTCTAAACTGTTGAATGTTGGTTCCAAAAAAAAAAAAAAAAATCTGCGCAGTGTTCAGGCCAAAGCAAACAGCTCTGTGGGCGACATCCAGCCCAGGCCACCGTTTACTTAGCTGAGGGTGAGAAGAGTGGATGCTGAGCTTCTCTCACCTGCATTTGGGGTATAAGTGTGAGGCCTGGAGCAGGGTGTCCCGGGGGTCGTGGCCGGTGCTCTCCACGGTCGGCTGTGGTTCTGCTGCCTGGTCTGGGCTGGGGACAGGACCCCGGGCATCTTCGAAGTCCTGGGAATGCTGCTACGCTGTCCGAGCCCTCCCCACCGTGGGCCTTGCCAGGGATGCGGGCCATGGCCCAAAAGCTGTGGCCTGGGTCTTGGGAGGACTGAGTTGGGGACTCCTGGTAGGCTTCATGGCCACGTAGGACCCACGAGGCAGGTCTGGCTGCCGTCGTCCTCAGTGTGCCCTGGACAGTGCTCGGCAGCAGGTCCTGATGCCCCAGCTCTGGTGTGGGTGCTGGAGAGCCGCCTCCCCGCGGGACGGATGCCACAGAGGCATCCGCTCTGCACCCACCCTGAAGAGAGATGGAGTTTGGACTGGGACACCCCGGGGACAGAGCATCAGGGCATCAGAGTCAGTCTGCAGTCATGAGACACGGTGAATCACCCAGCAATCAACAGATGCCATGGGCACCCAGTCCTGGCTTTGAGCCTCCTCTTCCTCCTGAGAAATGCACTTTGTGGCCGGCTTGAGAATGGCTGCATGATGAGGATGGCTCTTTATTTGCATTGTACATTAAATCTGGGTGGTGGATTAAGTGTGAATAAATGAGGCACATATTTTAGATGGAAAGATCACAAATTAAGATGCAGTTGTTTGAGATTAACTTGTAAATTCATTGTCACTGATTGGTGGTAGGGGCAGGGTTGGGAAACTTGACAATGAAATTTGAAACTTTAGAAGA